GAAAGCGAAACTACTTTGTTTGGCCTTCCAAAAGAGGACACGACTAGATATCAGTGGTTAAGTTGTATTTAAACAATGTTCCAGAACAGTTCAACCCAAATATTCAGATGTGTCCAGCGCATTTTATGGAGGACTGTTTCCTGATCCTGGGAGAGTAGACTACAATGCCGGCTGTTCTGACTCATAGACTGTAAGTACATTTCATATTTAAAGAATTTGCCACTGATGATTCAAACGCAAGTTTTGAGCAGTGTAGAGTAGCACTTGTTGTTTGTCATTTCTCCGATCACAAATGCAGACATGGTTTGTTTACGTGGCGCGATGCAATGCAAAGCAACACGTAAAAAGACAGTATAAGTCATTATAATCCGTAATTATGTCCCCACTGGATGCAACTAATGCCTCGTTTATAATGGGTTTTAATGTTTTTGTCTAGCCGCTCCGGCCGGACACAGCATCACAGTATGGTAAGGTGCGTAACATTTTCGTCTCACGCTTGAGGTATTCGGCCAGTCACAACACACTGCATAGCTGGCCAATCACAGCACACCTCGCTTTTCAGATCGATGAGCTTTGTAAAAATCGACGCATTTCAGAAAGGCGGGGCATAGAGGAGAAACAGTAATGTACAGTATGTGGAAAATAATGTGTTTTTTGAACCTTAAAACACAAACACATTTCATTACACCAAATACACAAAATAATGTTCTTTTTAGCAACATCATATAACCCCTTTAAAAAGACACATTTCTAATCATTCACTAAATAGAGGATCCATTAGAAGTTCTTTCAACCAATCAAATCCAATGACAACTGTTCATGCCACCAGGGCTCCTGAGATGAACGTAAATTCTAATGTTAACTCTCCTCAGGTATTATAGACTTCCTTGATTCAGGCTATTACAAACATGTTGCTCTGAGCTTCCATTCCAGCTGCTGCGTTCATAGTTGTGGGATCTCCAAAGCTGCACCGCACAGCGTTCCTATGATGGACAGAACAGGAACATCTGTCCTGACAGATGACTCTCATCACTCACAGATGAAGTGTACATGTCTCTTTACGATAGCATGATGGTGTATGATGATATCTCAACGCGACCCGTTTCCGCAATGGGAACGGAGCGGCTGATTTTGCAGCATTTACAGTTTTGTAAACAACAAAAGAAGGCTGTGTGAAAGACACAGTGTTTTTATATAGCAAAGGACATCTGTAAAATCTCAAACGGGTATTTTGTGCCTGTGATTGAAGGATGTACGATGAATGCGCTGACGTGTGGAAGGAGTAATAAATCTTCTCACCTGTCAGCTCATTCTCTCCTGGGAGAACCTGAGCCGCCCTGCCAAAGGCGCAGCATGAAATCTCATAAGCGAGAGAGATGGAGAAAGCGAGAGACCTCTGGCTGACAGAGAAACCTGGGACCTCCATTAGAGATAGGCCTAATTTATGTTTCTCATGTGGCGAGAATGATGTCATTACGGCTTTCGGATAAATCACGGTAGGCTGCCATCCTCTTCCAAAGCAGCTTTTCCCAAGACCCTACTATTCTAGGTACTTCCTGGTCACCTTGGGAGAGCACGTTGGGCTTGATGGAGCTTTCCAGATAATGCCACGCTGGTGCTCCTGGACAGCGGCTAATTAAGAGCTTTAATATCTCTCATCCAATGGAATATTGTAAATTTCAAGAAACGCATTAGATCCTGTGTAATTAACATGTAATATATTGCCACTCTTGAACAAAAAGGATCTCTGAAGTCCCAAATCACACGAGTCATTAGTGGCCTTATCAAGCCACGGGAGTGAAGCTGGGTGCACATTTATGAGTGGTAATTAAACGAGAAGGTAAGCGATACATACAGCTGCAAAACTCGAATTTGACAGGAGACAAAGTAATGAATATTACAGTACATAACATACAGTACACTCTACATGAGGGTTGATTCATATAATGATTTCAGAAATAACATTTTTGACAAATGACAAAATAACAAATGCATTGTGGCTTGGGATGGGTTAGGATGATCAACCGGTCATCCATCAACTAATTACTAGATTAGTGACTGGGGACAGAGGACCCCTTAAGAGGCCACAAGGGGGTGCTTGGTGGTCCACCCAAAATTTGTCACACTTCAAACTCGGGGAGCAAGGAACGAGGAAACGAGGAGTTCTTGAATATCACAATCTTTTAATAATCCACTCACAAGGGGAACGTAGGAGACACAGGAACACATGGAAAGACGTTCAGAACCGACAAACACTAACTGAATGGACTAGGGCTTTTAAACTCAGGATAATAAGGGAGGAACGAGACACACCTGGGATCAAATTAACAATCAACATGAGTGAGGAAGAAACTGGTTCACAGGGATCAAAAACACATAAACGGGTCCATAATCCTGACAAAATTTAGGAGAAAAAACATCTTTTGTTTTATAAAAAGTCAAAATACTACTTTGTGTTAAATTATTTAAAATAATATTTGATTATTTGATTTTATTACTGTTAATTTTTCTTTCTAAAGATCATAAGATTTATCACAATGATTTTATTCCATTGACAGTGCAGGTATTAAAATAAAATATAATAAAATATTACATGACAAATGTGGTTTCATTTTAAAGGTTAATACATTTATAATTAATAATTGGTAGAAAAAGATACACTGTCAACTCCATATATACTAATATTTATTAACTAATGACAGCATTTATAATTTTTAATATTTTAAATATATTATAATTATTAATAATTTTGACCTTAATATTAAGACAATAAAAACAGTTAAGTTAAAAAAAGCCTTAGTACAGTGATTATAATAAAGCGGTTATTATTTATTTTTAGATTAATTTTGCAGCATGTCCTATGTGAGCGCCCTTAAGAAATATGTCTGAACAGTCTGTGGTGGTCATGACCATAAACCAGCCTAATTACACAGGGCTTCTGACTAGACGATTATGAAAAGATGTAATTTTGCACATCTCTAATCATGGCCTCTTCTCATCATCACTGGAATATCTCCAACTATGAAGCTGGAAAAACACATTATGGGAGTTGCTGTTCTCAAATAGAGAAGAACACACAAACAGATGCTCTGCTGTGAACCAAGCCAGTGCTGCATCTCATTTGCTGTTGGCTCACTCTCATCTCCCACCTCGGTTGACATCTTTGGTTTTCTCAATGGGAGCGGGACAATATAATCATGCGCTTTCTGCTCATTTACAATCAGGCAGGTATAAATTAATGACCATGTTACAGAAATGAGCTTGGGTACGAATTGCCCAGATCTAAGAGCCATTAATGCCCGGTAATTCTTCCCGTGGCCACCCTCATTTGCAGGAAGCCAAACGTCAATGGGTTTATTTGGTCATGGGGGTAAAATGGGTGAGATGGCCGCCAGCCAGAAGGGGGAGGCAGTTCACAGACATCTGTTGTGATTCAATGAACAGATGCGCCAACTTTTTGTAGCCATCCAATCTCACAAGACAAATGAGAGAGCGGGTGGCTTGAGGAAGGCTATCCTACGTACCTTCAGACATCTGGACCTTTGTGTTTAATGAGTCCACCGAGGAGGCCTTCACCCACATTGGCAGAAAACTGAAAAGATGTTTCCAGTTTCAAAAAGAACAGTGGTTTAGGGGAATATAATGGAAACTAATTGGATTACACTCTTTTTCCAAACCCAATATCAGTTTAATGTGGGCTCATTCTGACCTTGCAACAGTGGCACAAAAACCGTTCAGGAAAAATAACAGTCACTTTAACTTACCAAAACGATCGAAAACAAATTGCATTCCATTCAGAATTCAGAGAGCATTTCAGCGTCAGTAAACACTAGCCGGGTTTCCATCCAAAGTTGCAAATTTAACTTATGCGCAAAATTGGAATATCGCATAAAACATTTTCATCCAACATTTCCATCCAACGAGTTAGAGAGAACAAAATCGTCACTTCCTGATAAACTGGCACTATAGAAGCCACTGAATATAATCATTCTCAAATATAATAAATTACTTGCGCCTTGAGTGAGCAGACGAAACACATGCGGTCTTGCTTTCGGAGGTGAATGTCAGCTGTTTGGGAACGCAGTCGTGGTAGACCATTCTAGGAGGCGGTTATACAGAAATACTTTGACGACAGACTTTGCTCGGGCACTTCAGAATGACCATGACAACATTTCAGATGCTGTGTAACAAAATCGGTCCACTGGTTAGTCAGGTTATGCTGTCCCATAGCGCAAAGTCACATGACCTTTTTGAACGTTCATGCGGGATTTATTCGCAAAATGCATTTCCATCTCCCATTAGTCAAAAACCACCTCAAGTGAGCGTAAAAACTTTTTTGCGAATTAAGGGATTTCTTTTTCGAAATTTGGCGTTTCCATCACTCGTTTCTCATGCGATACTTCAAAATGCGCATTAAAACAGGGTGATGGAAACATACTGATAACTCTGAAATAACACAGGGGAAGTCAGGGGAATTCCCCGAAAAACCCGAGCACGCAGCTCCTCCCCTGCTGCCCTCCCCTTCCCGTTCGGTTTTGAGCGAGAGCAGGAGGGAGCGGAGAGATGCCTTTGAAGTTGGCTCGAGCTGGGCCGTCCATCGTTTATTACAGTCACTAGTGTATGACGCTCATTTCCTTCTGAATAACGGGCAATAAATCAGACGCCTCAAGCCTCCCGGCGTGAGCTCCTGCGTTCTGTTATCACTGCCATCCACGTAAAAATTCGCATGCAACACGGGACAAATATGCATGAGAGACGTCGAGCCATTATAAACCTTAACCTGCTGTAAACATGTAGCATTGTGACTGCGACCTCTGACTGTCAGATACTAATCGGATGTGGTCACAGACCAAGCCCTCTGCGTTTATCTACGGCCTTGTGCAGATCCAATCAGAGTCACATACTGTTAAAAGATAAAATAGTGGCAGCATATATGGGCTGCTTTCTTTCAATTTAATATCATTACAGTGCAGGGCTGGGTGGGTTGACTGTATATATCGACGGTACAAATGTGATGTGCTGTACACCAAGCAGAAAACTGTAGCTTGCAAACTGTGTTGCTGATGGCATCCAATGTAGACAGCTTCATTGATTATAATAGTGCGATTTAGGTTTTGTTCATGGTTACTTGGCAATGATGCAACTCGGTGCATCAAAATAGAACTGATGTGTGTGTGGCCACATAGTCACAAGTACATGTATCAGCTATTTTCCAAACATTTAAAACAGATGAATGTATGACTGCCTCCTTTTCACTTGTGTTATGTAATGTGAAGCTGTTTTTATACTAATGTGTTGTTAATAATCTTACTGTTTGGGCTGCGTTTATTAAAAAGGTATGTTTTAAATCACTAGATTGCAGAAAAATAGATATTTCATGGTTATGTAATATATAGAGTTTATTGGTCCAACAGAGAAATAAAATGTGATGTATTCCTGTGATGGCAAAGCTGAATTTTCAGCATCATTACACTCCAGTCTTCAGTGTCACATGATCCTTTAGGTATCATTGTAAAACAGTTCTGATTATTATCAATGTTGAAAACTTAATATTTTTCTTTGAATATAAAGTTCAAAAGTACAGCATTTATTTTATTAACAGCATTTTTTGTATGTCTTTACTGTCACTTTTGACCAAACTAATGTCAATCTACATAACTTCCAGGAGTAACTGTGCTTCTGAGGAGGAAATATCTACAAAAACAAATTTTTATTGATTATTTCAAAGATAAATTAAGTAAATAAAGTAAATCCAGTGATTATTTGCTTATGTATCAGGCGGTCAGTGAACAGGTAGTACTTTTACTCAGCAAGGATGCAGTAGATTGATCAAAAGTGACAGTAAAGACATTCATTATTACAAACAAAGAATCTATTTCTGTATATAAACAGCAAATAACAAATAAAATAAACAGTGGTTGGTAACTACAGACAATCACTTCCTGTCAAAGTTAACAGCTTTTGGCAAGAATACGCAGCAAAAGGGAACTAACAGTATTCTTACAGTTAAAAGTTAGACTATACATCTATGGTTCCATGAAAAACCTAGAATATGTATGAAATCTTTCTATTGCACAAAAGGTTCTTTAAATGATTAAAATGTTCTTCAGACTAAGAAAACAAAAAAGTTCTTATAAGAACTGTTCACTAAATTGTTGGTTCTTCTATGTGATCCAACAAAATCCTCCTTTTGGAACCTTTACACAAGACTCTATCAATCCTAGAAACTTCAGAAAACCTCTCGAGTCTGCTTCGCCCAAAGGACCTGGCCAGGACTGTTTCCAGTTTTGATAATAACCATATCTACTGCGCACTCTACCATTCAACTCTTCTGGAAATCTTTCTCTCTCATTGGAAGGCAAACTTGTAAAGCGCTCTGGAGAGAGAGACATAACCATGGCAACCTGAGACAGATACACACACATTATCTCTTTTTAATTTGATTAAAGCAAAGATTAATCCATTCATCATCTATTACTTTGTATCATAATTTACAGGTCGAGCGTGCCGTCGATACAGAGGGCACACACACTCGCACGTTCTTTGTTCTCGATGCCACGCTCGTTTCATCTTGCCCCCTCCACCTTGGCTCTCCTCACGCCTGCAGGCTGAGCGCTCGCGCGGAATACGCTGAATGTGTGGGCTGCGCCGGGCTCAGGGGCCCAAGGGGGGTACTGTCGGTCAACACAGGGATGCTCGAGACACTCCAGAAATCACAGTGGTTGGCATCGGACCAAAGCCAGCCTCCTCTTACCTCACACACACGGTCCAGCTCCCTGTAGTATGGATAAACATTGTGCCTGTGAAGCCTGGCCCGCGGCCAGAAGCAAAGCTTGAGTTGTACAATGATTTCCCTTAATACTGGACAGCCTTGTTTACTTGCTAATCTGCAAACAGACAAAAAACAGCACAGCGTGGTCGGCTACACTGGCCACTCGTATGCCATTTATAGCCTCCCCTGTCCCCACACGCATGGGTCGAGTTTTTACAGTTCCCTGCAGTGTTCATGAGCGTTCCTCAATGTGAGGAGGGTAAACAAGCTCACAAAGACAGATTTCCACATTCCT